GACCTTAAAGGCGGCTCGTTGAGATTTTTTGTGTTCTCAAGGTCACCCTGGTAACAGCATGAAGATTGAAGAAGTTCGTAGTACATCAAAGGCGCAGCGTATAGCAGCTCATACACACATTAAAGGACTGGGTTTGGATGAAAATGGGATCCCGTTACCCACAGCTGCTGGTTTAGTCGGTCAGGAGTGTGCCCGTGAAGTAAGCTTTCATGTATTCCCTTTACTGCTTCCGTTATCATAGGCTGCTGGTATTGTTGTAGAGATGATCAGATCTAAAAAGATGTCCGGACGGGCTGTTCTTATGGCTGGGCCTCCCGGAACGGGGAAGGTTAGTACCTTGTGATAAATAACCTTACGTTTTTATATACCAGACCGCGATTGCCTTGGCTATCGCTCAGGATTTAGGGAGTAAAGTCCCATTCTGTCCGATGGTCGGGAGTGAGGTATACTCATCAGAAATTAAAAAGACAGAAGTGCTGATGGAACACTTTCGACGAGCCATTGGTAGACTTTTTTTATTCTTTCCGTGATTTTTTCTTCAGGACTTCGCATCAAAGAGATAAAAGAGGTATATGAAGGGGAGGTTACGGAGTTAACCCCTGTGGAAACAGAAAGCCCCACTGGAGGTAAATATTCTTTCTAGAATCACCGTCTTCAGGCCTTGGAAAAACAATCAGTCACGTCATCATCAGCCTACGCACAGCCAAAGGTGTCAAACAACTGAAGTTAGATCCGTGCATTTACGAAAGTCTTCAGAAAGAACACGTAGAAGTTGGTGACGTTATATATATTGAGGCAAATTCGGGAGCTGTCAAAAGACAGGGACGGTGTGACGTTTACACTGCGGAGTACGATCTTGAAGCTGATGAATATGTTCCTTTGCCTAAAGGAGAAGTTCATAAAAAGAAAGAAGTTGTTCAAGATGTTACGTTACATGATCTCGATGTGGCTAATGCACGTCCTCAAGGCGGCCAAGATATAGTTTCTATGATGGGCCAGTTAATGAAACCAAAGAAAACGGAAATCACAGGTAAGTAATGGATCGGGGTTGGGAAAAACGTAGTCTGTATTCTCTATATCTCCGAGTTAAGTTGTACTTCCAGTGTAAGGTATTTAGTTCCCTTTTCAATTAGCGAACTTCCATTGAAGGATACTCTCGACAAGTTAGATGTGTTTTTCGATATATATCTGTATATACATCTCGGTGAACATCCGCGCAGTTTTAGTTCTCGTTTGTTAAATATGTAAATCTAGGGGCACAAATTTTCTCTTAGTTGCCTGCGATTAAAGCTCAGTGGCCTTTGAGCGGTTGAAACCTTGGACCCGAGGACCAATAGAGCCCCAGCGACTAACCGGTACTTGCTCCGTAGCTGATGGCAACGACAGGAATTCTCTACTCGCCTTGATACTGTATCATAATGGATATTGAACGTTTGCCGTTATTTCTACTTTTCAGATAAATTGCGCAAAGAAATAAATAAGGTTGTCAATAAGTACATTGATCAAGGAATTGCTGAACTTGTTCCCGGTGTGCTGTTCATCGACGAGGTCCACATGCTAGATATAGAGTGTTTCACTTATTTGCATCGTGCCTTGGAATCGACTATCGCTCCGATTGTAATTTTTGCAACGAATCGCGGCAAGTGTACCATTCGGTATGTTCACAAATTTTACTCGTATTCAGTTTATCTGTTCCCTCGCTAGCTGTTTTACCTTGAAATTTCCCTGATCTTATCCAGCTGGCCCATGTACGAATAAAGAGCGTGGTAAAAGTATCGTTTATTAATATTCAAACAGGACGGTGGTGTAGGCAACTCCGGCATATGGGGCGATACCAAATTCACTCCTCTGGTTTTCTACCCTCAGTTTTCAGACTTGTAACCAACTCTCTTCATTACGTGGAAGGTCTTGGTGGTGAACGGGATAATCTCTTCGGTTGATTCATGTTAGGGTGTGTAATACCAATAATTATTCTAATGTTATCATTTTTATTGTTTTTGCTTCTGTTACTGATACATCTCTCCAAAAGCCTCAGTATGGTCGGGGGTGGTTGTCCCATCCTATCGGACCACTTGCGTTGAGTCTCGTCATACACTAATTCCGTTACGCTTTACTCTCCGACTTGTCGGTCCACAGCAGAAATCGCCTCCTCAGCTTATCATCGCCTGCGCTATCCATCTGTCTGCGCACGTTATGAGGAGAAGGTAGGAGAACCCTGACAGTTGAATCAAATTAGATTCGCGATGCACCACGGCCAACTTTGTTTGTGGGACCAAGCACGAAGCTCACCGAAGACATTGGATCCTATGAATCAGTAATTCTGATATATCAAAAGCGAAAAATCCCAATCTACCACGAACAACATGGCGACCGGTGGCACCTGCAACATGAACTCAAGAAAAGCCTTGAGATCGCGGAAACTGGTAATCCAAAATAGCCAGTGATTTGGAGGTAGCTTCTGCATCACGGAATGGTCAGACTGTTTCACCTTATACGCAGCACCGAAGGTCGTCGCATACCGGTCAGTGAGACCATTTGCGATAAAAGTGGACAAAGCAGCCACAATAAAGAACAACGGCTTCATCGCTGGGCGGAGTATTTCAGTGAACACTTCGACTGACCCAGTGCTAATGCGGTCACACCAGCTATCGCGGTGGAAACCTTATGGATGGTAACATGAGCTTCCATCAGAATTGGAAGTACGAAACTGCATTCAATCATTAAAGAAAGGGAAGGCTGCGGTACCTGATGGGCTTCTCCCTACTCTTTTTAAAGTGGGTGGTGATTCTCTGGTTCACTTGATTGCCGGCTTACTTCGCACCATTTGGTCGGAGGACCGTATCCCTTCGTCCTGTGGTGAACTGTTGATCATCCCGATATTCAAGAGGAGATCACGCAACGATTGGATTAGTTTATTTCTGATAATCACAAAAGTGTTGACTTCTGTGATACTTCGGTGCCTGACACCCTTGAGCGAGAGGGATATTCGCGAACAGTAGTCAGGATTCTGACCAGGTCGCGGGTGCATCGACCAAATCTTCGCTCTGCGTCAAGTCCTCGAACTGCATCACACTCATCGTCGGCCGACAATCGCAGTGTTCCTTGACGTTAAAGGAGCCTCAGTTGATCGTGAAGCTTTTATGTGGTTGTTGCTTCGCAAAGGAATTATGCCGCGGAATTATGTAAATTTATTGCAGTCGTACCTGCATACTTCTAGTAGGGTATACAGTGCACTAAGTAAATCGTTCGAAACCAGGAGTGAGGTTCGTCAAGGTTGCTCTATTCTGCCGTTCTTGTTCAATTTCGTGTTAGACGAAATACTGGAGAACGCACTTAGTAGTCTCCAAAGGTTGGTATTGAGTGGGCAGCTGGATAAAAGTTGTGCGATTTAGAGTACGACGCCGACATCGTTTACCTGTTCGAATGTATGGAGGATGCTCAAAGCGCTCTTGACCGACTTTCAAGTTCTGTAGCTCTTTTCGGCACCTTCAAAGTGCAATGTGATGCTACAGGAGTGGGTGTCGTCTAATCCAGCGTTGATGCTTGATGATCAAGGATTAGCTGTAGCGAAATGTTTCTCCCACTGAGATAGTTGCGTTACAAATGAGGGTAGCATAGTCAATGAAGTAACCGCCCGCATTTGTAAGGCTCGAGCAGCTTACGCAGGATTGAAGCACCTTTGGTGCAGGCGCGATGTTTCGTTGAAACTGAAAGGTCGCGTATACTGCGCCGGTGTGCGGTCACTTCTGCTCTTTGGTTGCGAGACCTTAGATTTGCACGTGGAAGATATTCATCGTCTTGAAGTATTCGACGGTAGATGTGTACGTAGTTTGGCTCGGGTTGGATGGAGCGAGCTTGTAAGCAACCCTGAAGTAAGACGTCGCG